GCAGGGATATCACACAATAAGGTAGGACAACCTTTCATTGTTTTATTCCTATAAATACAGTGCTAGTGCAGAACTTTAAAGAAATTATCTGTGCTATGTCCACAGTTTAATGTCTGTTCTTTCCAGGTCCTGGCCAAACTAGCCTGTGGTCTGAACAAACCTAACCGACAAACTGTTCTGCCTTTGAACTCTGTTGCTGAACTTTTCAAGTCTCTACCCATCAACAAGATGTGAGTTCACAGTGTTACCCTGCCATAAAGAATTTATTCATCATAAATTACACTTGTATTTTGACAGAGACGGGAAAAACAGACGTTGACCGACAGTATAATGTACTCTTCTATTGCTTATTTCATCCTTGCAGCCGTAATCTAGGGGGTAAGCTGGGTGTCTCCATTGCAGAAACTCTGGGAATAGAGAACATGGGAGATCTGACTCGTTTCTCTCAAGCACAACTGGAACAGCACTTTGGAGAAAAAACAGGGTAAGACAAGTTCAGTTTTCATTAGAAGTCAAAAGTCTTGTATTTATTTTGTCAGGCGTCATCATAATTTTATGTAGATGTGATACTTTAATTACAATGTCTTAATATAGTCATTACATGGCTGCCCAAATAAATATCTTTTTAACTTGTCACCTGTTGTCACTGGTCACAGTATGTGTGATGCCACATGGTCATAACATAAAACCAAGCTCAGGGCAAAGGTTTCCTACAGTAATAAACAGAACTTAAAAACTTAGTGTTTTATTTATGCTTGTCCAGGAACTGTATTTACCACTGAATGTCTCTGCTTTGCAGCCAGTGGCTGTATGACTTGTGTCGGGGGATTGACTTTGAAGCAGTGAAACCTAGACAGCTTCCCAAGTCCATCGGCTGCAGTAAAAACTTCCCAGGGAAGACATCCCTGGGCACGTGCAGGCCACTGTCTCTGCTTCCCCTGTTGTTATATCAGGGTTTGAAAACTGTTACTCAATCAGAGAATGTATTTTACTGTAATTTAACAATAATTATAGTTACTAACTGCTCTGTAGGTACAGCACTGGCTTCATCAACTGGCCCTTGAGTTGGAGGAGCGGCTAACGAAAGACAGAGAACTGGTGAGTAAAAGTTTGTGGTTTTCTTTTTTTCATTTCCCTTATTAACCACTTCCTCTACTGTGTCACACTGATATCATATACCATGAATGCTGTATAACTGTGTTTCACATGAGTACTTATCATTTCTGACCATGTAACAGAATGGTCGAGTGGCTAAGTTGCTGACAGTTGGTGTACGTCAGCTAGGGGATAAGCGGCCAACCAGCTTCTCTCGCTGTTGTGGCTTAGCGCGATACGAAGCGACCAAAATATCCAGTGACAGCTTTGCCATTATCAAGAGTCTCAACACAGCTGGAAACCACCAGGCAGCATGGTAATTAGAATGTCTTGTTGCATGTTTGATGTGACCCCCCCCCTCGCGACCCCGTTCAGGGACTAAGCGGTAGAAGATGAACGAATGAATGAATGGTTCAAGGAATGTGGTGTCATTTATAACACTCTTTTCTTGCATCATATCCACAGGACTCCACCCCTCACCCTGCTTCAACTCTCTGCTAGCAAATTCAGTGATGCTCCATCAACAGGGAGGATAACTGGTTTCCTTTCCAATGATGTAATTTCCACACAGAGCCTTTTTTCCACCACTCAGTCCTCCACCCAGTCTCAACTGAAAAACGCCGCAGCATTAAAGCAGCCTGGCACTATTCAGTCCTTCTTTCAAAAAGTAGCTGAGAAACAAAAGCAGAAGGTAACAAAAGAAGAAGAGGAGGAGGAGGATGAAGATAGAGGATCTACAGTAATTCTCCCATCTTCCTCCTCTCACAAAACCTCTGCAACTGCACATCAGCTGGAGACTGGTACCAAATGCCCTGTCTCTCCCTTCACACTTCCTTCTCACTCCAAAACTGGATCATCCATTTCCTCTTTCTTCCATAAGAAGAATCTTGAAAGAAGCTCACACATCTCAGCCTCGAAACCGAACAAGCATGAAACAATACATACATCTGGGCCTGTTGTAAAAGAAGACTCTGGAGACCCTGTTGTTGTTGTTTCAGACCAACAGGCAAATCATAGCTCAAAGTTTACATCACACCAGTCTCCCTGTGAAGAGTTAAGGGATGAACTGGACATTGGTCCGGCGGTAAATCAACGTCCTCTCGCTGTGACCAGAGAAGACATTTTAAACTGTGAACGATGTGGCCAGGAGGTTTTGGTCTGGGAAATACCTGAACACAATGACTATCACTTTGCCTTGGACATCCAGAATTCACTCTCTTCATCCACAGGTTCAGAGGCTGTCTCTGTCTCTTCCTCTACTGTCTCCTCTCCCTCCTCTGCATCTCCTCTCAGAGTAGGAGCAGCAGGCACAGCTCAGACTTCCCGGGGAAAAACAAAAACCAGAGGCCAGTCAGGACCCCAACCGAAAAGACCTCGGTCTCAAGGTGGAAGCACGGGTACCTTGGATTCTTTTTTTAGGAAAAACTAAAGAAATACTGTAAATGCTGCATTTTTAAATGAAATAAATTACACATATGTGAAGACAATGTGATTGCAACAGGCTATATAAAAAGACATTTTAAATGATCAGTGTTATTGAGCTTTAGCATATGCGCAAATTAAAGGAAGCTTTTGTTTCACATATGCCTTGTAAAGGCAATATTTTTAAGTGATTATTTTGTAAACTTGATTATATTAAATATACTTTTTACAAGCTACAGTAGTGTATATTGTGTTGTAATATTCCAGTGTGCCAGCAGATGCCACTAGTCAGTTGCAGCTTTGACCCAAATGTTGGTCTTTTGTAAGACAAGACTATCCAGTATATTTTAAAAACTTAAATACAAATGGTATGTGCACGCACATAATTGCAGTTAGATTTGTTTGTTGTCAGATGTGACCATAACAGCAATCCCACTGACAGTATGGCCTAGAGATTTAAGTTGCTGTAAAGCAAACAAAACAAAGGAAATCAAAAACTTTTCTTTAACATTACTAACTTGTGTAGAGCCATGGATTGTTAGACCTTTAACATGATTCTCAATAAGAGCAATTTCACTATTAAGAGCTGTGTCAGTGTCTTCTACAGTTGTGAACCCATTGTTCTGTCATGCAAGAGCAGTGACTGACAGCTCAGTGCTTAAATTACTCTTGCCTCGTCTTGCATCAGCTGAGGAGGCAATAAGGAGGAGCAGTACCAGGGAAATGAAACAAAGCTTTGAAAAACTCCGATTTTGCATAATGAGTCATGGATTTGTCATGTGAGCCAGTAAACAAAACACTGGGTGTGTGATGACATGGGTGAAAGCACAGTGTCACTTTCTCTTTTACATAAAACACAACAAAACTACTTCCTGATAAAGAGATGATAAAAGTTTTATTCATGTACAACATAATACACAGTCTGTACATAAATATTGCATTTTACCCAGATAATGACAAAAATACGACACTTGAAAAGAAAAATAGGTCTTCAATGGGATTTGAAAAAGATAAGAACAATATGAAAAATGGGTTTGAATCAACTGTAAAATCTGGAACTACTAGAAATCTAAAAAATATACCTCAAATGCGTTAAAATGAACTTTAACACCTGATATAAACTCTTAAAGGATACAACTATTTTGGTTGATATATGTTTCTCTCTTTGAGTACGCACAAACTGCATAACAATAATGTGCAACAAAACGGCACATTTCAGTTGTCCTCTACATCACTGATGTCAGTCGGACAACAATGTAGAAATCAAATCAAACATGCAACAAGACAGGTGATAAGGCCAACAGCAGCCTTGAACAAAGTAGCAATTACCATTCATTTTCAAAGTCATCTAGATATCAAAAACCATTTCTAATAGTAGCACCAACTTATTTGCTCTTACTAAGTTGTACAACTTTGGGGTGTAATGGAACATTATTCAAATGCAGTTCCATTAGGCACTGTGTTAACCTCGAAAGTTTGTGACATCAGTAACATATAAAACAGATGACACCAAATACGTCTCACACATACACACACACACACACACAACTGCTTTTAAACAAAGCTACATTAGTAGGCAGCTTCGCATACTATATAATGCATAATCAAAAATCTCTTTGGGAGAAGCACACCCTTGTCTCGTTCTCCTCAAATTCGCCCCTTTTCCTCCCAAGTCAGCAATGGAAGCCTTCACTGCAGTGGTTCTATAAGAGTGGAATGCTGTCCAATACTATGCTGTACAATACAATATCTACTCTGACCTGAGATGCAAAAGCACCTGAAAGATAGGTAGCAAAATCACCACCATCTCACTGCACTATTGTGAGGCATTATTTGTGAATAAAAAACATAATTCTCAGACAAATGTGCCCATAATTGATTACCAATGTGAATTAGCTGACATACAAACAAACTGGGTCAAGTTCTAACATTGCATACCTCTTCTATTACCATCATAAAGTGCCTTCATCAGCAGTCTAGCTTGAGGCAGGATTGTTTAGCTTATATACAGCTGTTAAGCTGCATCTGAGACCCACAAATGTATCACATTGCTTTTACTACCTCACATAATTGGTTAGCTAAGGAAATAATATTTAAGAGTACTGAAATGCAGTGAAATCAGAGTCTTATCCTTAACAGTGAGGCACTATTCTGGCAGAGACAAGCTGCTGTGGGGCAATGAAACAGTGACATTGGTGAGATCAGTTACACCTTACAGTTCAAGCACCTCATACTTGCAACTGTGGAATTTGTAAAAGATTATCTGTCAAAGGTATATCAACCTTGACATGTATGTTCCAGTGCAAGTGTGTGTGCATCTTTCTGTGTTAGTGCATTTAGGTGTAAACTGTGTAAGCAGCATGTCAACGTAGATGCGAGAAAGCCTAGCTGCCACTTATTTAACTGTGCACTGCAACTAATGCTTGTTTTGACACTTAGGTAGAAGTTGCTGTGAAGGTGGTTGAGGGGTTTCCTGTTATCAGAGCCAATGAAAAGCAACACTCTTTAAACCTCAACTCCAGAAAGCAGGCTAAAATATCAACAGTTATTTAAAAGGCTGAAGAGGGAGAATAAGGAAGATGTTGACAACAAGGCTTTGGAACACGGTGATAAACCAACAGAAACCTGTGAAAGGGATTTACTGTGCAGGGAAAAGGGAAGAGTAGCCTTTGGAGAAAGCTGGAGGTGGTTTATAAAGCACCTTTTGTGGGTCAGGACAGTGGTTTCTGTTGTGGTCCCCTAAAAAACTTTAGGCCTCCTCGTTCTCGTTTTGGGATGGCCGGTACTGGGTGATGGGTTGCAACTTGGTGACGTGGCCGATGCCTTTGGTCACACCCTCTCTGAAGAGCACCTTAGCACCCACTTTCAGGTATTCTGGGTGCTTGATGAACTTGAAGAGAACCACTGCCTTCTCCCCAGTTCTCAGCTCCTCCTGTGGTGCAGTGATGTGTCATAAAAACAGGAATAGAAGAGAGATAGCATTAAAAATAAACCAAATGTAAGATTAGTCTAAAATAATCTCCTTAAGGCAACATATTGAATATAACAAACCCAGGCGTAGAGAACAACTTTTAAACAGGAGCACCTTTAGCTCAGTGGATGAACTAACCTTGCCATATACAGCTTCCACTGTGGCTGTCTGTCTCACATTGCCAATGTGCACAGTAACCTGGAAGCCCTTGTGGAAGGTCTTAGCATGGAAGAGAAGCACAATTTCAGCCTCAAACATCCAGCAGATGGTAGGATCCATCTCTGGACTCACCATGACCATGCCCTGTAAATTTAAAAACACATGGATATTGAGTATGCATAGTTTTAACATTCTGTATAACATGATAAAATATATTTTGTTGTACCAGCCTACTTAATATTAGAAATACTGTATATACCGAATGTTAGAAACCTTTGAGTTGTCTGCCACACTGATGATAGCTGCTCATGCTAACTCGTCTATTTTTTCCATAAGAATCAGCAATAAAGTATTAGATCTGACCTTTATTTTCATTAAAACACAAAGACAACACCCTTCCTATAAAGACAGATACTGGCAAGCAGTATTCATAGTTTTCATGTGATGTCACATTCTTATAGGACCACCCAAATGAACCAAAATCTTACTGCCTTTCACTACTGCTCTAGAATACCTACTACAGTGACCCTGAACCTAGCAACAACATTAGGTAGCCAATTAGCACTCACCTTTGCTCTGACAATAAAGAATTTCTTGTCTTTCACTGTAGCTGTCTGAAGGGGAGGTTATATATAAACACTGCAGGGCAGAGATTGCAGCAGAGCAGGCACAAGGTTGAAGTCTGCACTCTGGCTGCAGTCACATAAAATTCTTCACGAAGGTTTGTGCAGCAGTGTGGCCATATTTATTTGTGTTTTAGAATGTGACCACTGTGAAACAACATACAAAAAAAAACAACAAACAAAACATTTTTTGTCTCTCTGGCTCATTGCTTTGTTTTGCTAGTGCTGCTCCATCTCTTAATTCACATGGAGGGGGGGGTCTACAAGAACCTGAATAGAACAACCAAAAAATTTACAGGATTGAGTTGCACTTCCACTTCAAGTGTCCAGTGTGGGCTGCCATGTTAGAAGGGTTTTTTTTGCCCTCTGGGGCTCTGTGCCAGTCATGTGACTGAAAACTAAGAATAGAGAAAAAGTAACCGTGTGACAAATTTGGCACAAATATTAAGTGTCTGACCTTGCGTAGCAGTGAACGGTCAAAGTTGCCCAGGGCGAGTGTGGCAGCCTGGCCAGCCCGGAGTACCCTGCATGCCGACCGATTCCTTTGAATGCTCCCAACTGTCAGCTTGTGGAACTGGCCCGAGTCTGTGGGCCCTACTACAAGATGATCTCCCTCACGACAAATACCACTGCGTGATCAAAGAGGATAGTGGGTCAGAGAGAATCCATGTCAAACAAAACATAAATGCAAGATTAATGGAACATGAAGTAAGCTTTTCAACACACTCACCTGTACAGAGTACCTCCCACCACAGTCCCCACCTCTGGCACTGTGTAGATCTCATCCACCTGTAATGATGCACACTGCTGTCTATTTACATTGCATGTGGGCATGTATGTACTGCGGCTGTGGCTCCTAACCGGAGGGTTGGTGGTTCAAATCCTGACTTCTCCAGTTCACATGTCAAAGTGTCCTTGGGCAAGACACTGAACCCCAAGTTGGAGTGTGTGAATGTTTGTGTGTACAAATGGGTGAAAAATAGTGTAAAAGCACTTTGAGTGAGCTTCACTGCACAGAAAAACGCTATACAAGTATAAGACCATTTACCATATGCCAACTGCGTGCATAAACAAACTTCATCTCAGACCTACCTGAAACTCGGTTAGCTGCTGCATAAGCTCCTCCTGTTCCTTGCTGTTGCTGAGAGGAGGGATGATATTGAAGAAGACCTTGAGCAAGTCTAGACTCTCTCCAGACACACTGGACAAGGTGAAGATAGGAGTGATGCTGGCAGGGAGAGCACAAGCACGAGATGAGGACACACAGACAACGCAACTGTTCTAAATCATAGAGGGTGCAAAACAGATACTCATTTAATAATGTACATGTTTCATACTTGGGTGATTGTGCAAACTGCTGTGCTGCTGTGACGGCATCGTCTGTACTATCTACCACCATGGGCACCTTGTTGCAGCCCGGTTGTTTCAAGACACGCTCCAACTGCCGCACTGTGCGCTCCACAGTGGCCCGCGTACAAAGGTCCACTTTACTGATGACAATGAAAATGGGCACCTTCAGGGCCATGGCAAGACCAAGATGCTCCCGTGTTGTACCAGCTGGAAAAGAATGAAAAGGAGAGAAGTTATGCCCTTGGAGTGTTTTCGCCACATCAGTTTTCACATGCAAGCATACAAAGGCAATGTTTATCTGATGCATTCAATATGATGCTTTTATCCAGAGCCATTTACTTAAGACAACCATTAGCAGATGACACAATTCTGATACACACAATATTGTCTCAGGTAGAATCAAACCTATGAACATCCATGTACAGAAATAACATTATTCAGACAGTACTTCGTATGATACTACTGCATCAGGTAGGGACAAGAAACAGCGTACAAACATACTGGCTGTGCTCTTGGTGGACCCTGTTTCTTTGTAAATAAAGCTGGTATGAGAAAGAGATACTGTACGTCTCGGTTCACATATACGTCTCTACTTGGTCTATATCATCATCAGGGAATTCATGAGTACTGATCCACAACACACACCGACAGGCTGACAGAGCCTGGAATACCCTGACCCCTCATCAACTAAGCAGTGGATTGTTTTGCTAGTTGTGTATATGGATGTACATTCATGGTTATAACTTATTTTCACTGAATCCAAGGTAGCAATGCAGAAGAATATGCAAATTCCCTTGTCCTATGTAAAGGTAGTGATAAATTAAGTGTTGAAGTGTTTAATAAATAATCTCAGAATGATACAAGATGAGTACCAGCCCTTTGCCTTTTGGCTTGTAAAAGCTACAACGCTTACACAGATCCATTACTTCGTTTCATAATTAAAGCTGTAGCTCTAGGGTTTCAGATGGTATGTCCCTATTCTGTGTGTAAGGTTGCTAAGGTGTTCCTTAATCTTGCCTTCTTTTAGAATGGACACCCACACATACGCAGCAATACCTTCAGCACAAGTACAGAAATTTAAGCATAATACATAGGAATTAAAGAATATTACAATGTTTAGGCTTGAAAAATGTGCAGCACTGCAAGATGTGCATTATTGCTAGATTTCTACCAAAAAAACAAAAAAAAAACAAATCAGCAATTGTCTTTGCCCATTTCATTTCTCCTCTGCGGTGTAGTTAATGGCTCAGTTTTTTTTTTTATTTCATATCCAATTTTGTTTACAGCCTTTTGCAACATCAGCAGCTTCTTTTACTACCTGTAATAACCTCAGCAGGGTTTGAACCAGAGTGCTAAGTAACAAGCGCTGTCTCAGGTTTCATCTGTGTCTCCTCGCCATTTGCAAAAGGATGGACGTGTAGGTAAATGTCACTGGTAGTCAGCCTAAATGTTTCCATTTCAAAAAAAAAAAAAGACAGAAATTGATGAGCCTTACTTCGAGACAAAAGGTGAGCACCTGCAAATACTTGGGGTATAACTTCAGGTGATTGTCAAGGGATATGTCCTTTTTGTAAAGTCAGTAAGGATGACATAAACAGCGGCCTACTGACCAAATTGCAAGTACTTGGTTTACCAAATCAATGAGATGAAGAGCAGAGCTACTTCAGGCATGTTAGGAATGGATGGTATCTGAGATATTTTGGAACTTGCAGTGGTAGGCAGGGACACGGAGGAGGGGTAAAATGACTCTGGTCTGTTACATAAGCTCAGTCTGCAATATGTTAAGCCACAGAGGGTCAAATCCACTACAATGTGTACACAAACATAGGCTTGTTGTCAGGCTACCAGCCTGTGGCCCTGTGACAGATCCACTTTCAACTTGGCTTATCTGATTAACCAAATGTTTGGGTAAAGTGTAAAAAGCAGCTACCTATTAGTTGACATACAATTATGCTTAAGGTCCTACTAAATCAGTAGAACGTGAAATTTAGAAAAGAATACTAACCAATGCCAGTATTTGCGCTGACGACCAGCATAGCGAAATCTGGACAGTAGCTGGTGAGGCCAAAGATGGTGGTCTTCAAGTACTTGTGGTGACCCGCCAGATCGATGAATGTGATCATTTTAGAGGCACTCTCACAAATCTCCTCTGCTGTACGAGACTCGCTGTAATTCACAACCTAGGAGAAGAAGTAATTATATCTCGAGTCATGATAAACATTACTTAAAGAAAAAAAGCACAGCCATGGTGCCTTCTGATGTTCTTAGTATGGCTCTGCCTATACCTCCTGACCACTGCTGCTACTGTGTTTCAGCTAATGTTCAGTTACCTACTGATGCTCCTGTCACATCTTTATGAAATCACATAATCTGTGTTTGTATTTGTTCAAGCAGTTCTTTACTATGTAGGGCCATGTGGCATCAGACACATTCCTGGTCTAAACTGAGAAAGCTGTGGTGTCCACATTTTTATAACCTTGCTCAAGTCTTAATTAGAAATCACAGATGTAATCATTTTTGTTGCTGTTATCACAGCTGAAGTGACTTTCACTCACTTTAATTATAAATAAGGTAACATACTCTACACCTGAACTGTAAGATAACTTCCATAATGTGGTACAATTTTAAATCATTTAACATTGTATTATTTTTAAGTACAGGAGTGTACAGTTTTTTTTGTATACATGCACTAGTGAACACATCATTTATTTGGTGCTGGATCTTTTCTCACCTCTCCTTTACTGTTGAAACCAAGAATCTCAAAGCTGATGCTTGAAGTTCGTCCAGTCTGAATCTCATGAAGATGTCTGAAGAGGTTGAGCCTCGCTCTTCCCCGTCCATTGTCAAGCTCACCTTGTGTCAGAACACCCAGCAGGGTGGACTTGCCCGAGTCCACATTACCCAGTACGGCTACTCGCAGGTCTAAGAACTGGAGGAAAAGAACCAAGGAAATTTTTTTTCCAAAAACTGCTGAGAATTTAAAAATAAATAGATCAGCAACAACCAAGATAAATCATGCCTTCCCAGTAACCTCGCTAACCTGCTGATCATCTGGCACCTTGCGAATGAGAACTTCAGCAATCTTTCGAGGCACATCAGAGTCATAGTCCACCTCTTGCTCTCGAAGAACAGTGATATCAGCTCCAATTCTGTCATACAAAAAAACCCAACTATATTAAAGTGTGGTGTTTGAATTCCTGAAGGACAAAATTTATCTTCTGTGTCTTGATCATGTGGGGGCGGCACCAGCCGTTGAGAAGTACCACAGAACTCATGGTGTCAGTGTAGTATTACTAGCTGGCAACATGAAACCCATTATTTTAACCTCTCTTCAGAAGACCAAGGGAGAGACTCATTTTCAAATGTTGTTGCAGTGAAATTATAGATAAAAAGCCAATGCTGAACGTGTAAGGATGTTCCCTCGGTTCAATGTGTCAGACAATCACATGTATTGATGAGCCAGCTCTGTTGAAGACAGAGCTCAGCCCCCCTCAGTCCTGGGTAAAAGCAGGACCGGCTGAGGCCCAAGTCAGCACAATTACCCCCTGCTACTAGGAAGTGATGGAAACAGAGGTCAACCTGTGCCCGCTCGACCCTACACAATTAAAGCATACTGAACCATGCTGGTGGAAAAACACTATTTGGTAAGAAGGACTACTAAAATAACTAACTGCCAAGCTAGGATAAAATAGGTAATGCCTTAATAAAAAAAATAAATAAAAAAACTAAAAAAAAACTTAAGACTTACTTCTCTGCCAACCTGTGGAGCGTCTTCAGTGATGCCGTCATATCTTCCTCTGACAATCCCACCAGCATGCCATTATCCTCAACACCAATCTGATAAACAGCTTCACCTCTACCCTCCTGCAGTCGCCATTTCATTTGTGTTGCCAGGTGCTCAAAGCGGTACTGCGTTGGGTTCACTAGCTTCAGCTAGACATGGAAAATATTTTAGACATCAGTGTTCAACTGAAGCCTAGAGACTGTGAAAAGTTAAATAAGTCTAATTTAGTGGGTGAAGAATTCTGCAAATTAGTAACGTTTCAAAGCACTGCTGCAGGACTGAGGCAATACAAGTCTATGTGGGTGTGACAGGGAGGGGAAGCAGCTCTCTAGTAACAGAATGCTCTCACTATTCTACTGTGGTGTTGGTTTTCCAAGGTAACCCCGTGAGACTGCACTGATATATCTGACATATACCTACGATACATATAACGGACAGCTCACAATAATAATGACTGACCTATAACATCCACAATCATGTTATGAGGAGGCAGAAATTACCATGATCTGTTCGTTGCGATGTTGTCATATGAAACAACTAGCTCACACCTTCTATGAAACATGACAGCTAGTTTACTTACCTTGTACTCTATATTTCCCTCTTCAGCCTGAGAAAGAAGGATGGAAAAAAGAAAGACAGAGACAGAACATGAACAACAGCTGTCAGACTGCAAAAAAGTGAGAAAAGGGGCTGTGGATTTGTTAAAATACAAACAAAAGCAGTCTAACTTCACTAGCACTACTGTGAATTGCTATACAAACTGACTAACTGTTTACTTAATACTTTTTGACACGGTATTAGACAAAGCACATGAGTGTGGTGGGCAAAAATCAGAAATGCATATTAACAGTTATAAAAGCTACAGTAGAGAAAGACTGGTTACATCCTGGGGATCATATGAGACTACAACTAAAGCTATGGATTATGTTGAGATTAACATACTTCATTACTGTTGTGACGATACTGCTCATTTCTTTAAACTCAAGAGAAAGCTGCATTTAAAAACTTATTTTAATATTAAAATCCAATTTAATCCTCAATTCAAAACTACACTGTGTGATGTGTAGTTTGAGGTCAAAACACTTATTATAAATTTCTGAGAAAATAAAGATTATGTTGACTTTCGAGTGACTTGAAGTTTAGTTTTGGTTAACTAGCGTTATAATAGGCTACAGCTAACATAATATGCGTTAAATGATCCCAGTGCTCTTTTATTATCGTTTAATAACACGGTCCTTTGTTGAGTGAATGTCAGGGACTCTTCCGCTAGCTAGCCAGACACTAGCCAGCTAAAGGAAGCCGATTATAAATTTAAAAAACACACTCGACTACTATTAAAATACTGTGAACAGCAAATTGCACGATAATAACAAACGTGAGCTTGCTAATGTTAGCCGAATATAACAACGTATCGGTAACGTAACGTATCGTTACATCACCAACGTATCGTTACGTTACCGATTAGCTACGTGTCACTACAAGTTCAAAGATGACTTAGGGTACGACAGATAATTCCGATGACAGGAAATGCAATGGAATATCTAACATAACATTTATTAGTTACACACTGCAACATGCAAACAAACGCTAATTAGTATACAACACTGTTAGTAGTAAATAATATTAGCTTGTTTATGCTAATATTAGCCTTACCTCTGGAGGTAGATATGGGGTGTTGTTGCTTGGTTTGAAGTTGCGAGAGAATCGAGTCTTTGATTTCTTGATGTTCTTTGTACAAGCTTTTTTGGCCACTACCCCATAGCCATTCCCCGACTTCACGTTGGACGCAACACCTTGAGATCCACAACTGTGTCCATTTCCTGAGCCAAATAACTCCGTTACCCGCGCATCCATCAGCAACTTTGGGACCTATCTTGTTACCTAGCTTCCCACTACCTGGCTAAATATGATGAAATATTACTAAAATATACCTCTGGCTAGACATACAGGTGTTTATATTTGGGTAAAATTAGCCTTCTAGTGGGAGCTTGAAGACCCTTAAATAATAGCAAAGCGCTAACATCACCAAACTCCTCAAAGCGAACAACAACAGCACCAACTGAGCCTGGCTTTCAGTTTACAGCGTGCACACGTCACAACCCTTAGGGGTTTGTTCGATTTAAATAACTGGATGGCGCAAGTGAGCGGCGTTCTTTGTGTTCTGACTTTTATGAGATCGTCTGCAGGGTTTTTAAAACCCCGCTCACCTAGCTACAGAGGTCCGAACACAAACATACCCAGAGACCCAGTTTTGCAGTGCTTTGCGTCAGACGAGAAAAGGAAATAATACAGACTATCTGTTTACAACGAGAGGGCTTATTGTTTAGGCCTACAAAAATGATGCAACAAGATCGCAAAATGTGTCATCTAGATTATTTGCATTAAGAGACTTTAGAATTTTCCTACAGTTGCCCATAATGTGGTAAAAGTACATGCACATAATAACATTCCGGCTAAAACATGACAACACAGACAGCAACAAATAATACCAAATCTATTTTTTTCCAATAAAGTTTTTGCATTATTATTTCACCAACAAAGCTCACAGTGTGATAATACAGATTTTTCATTTTTGCCACATTTCTTTCACTTTTATATACTCTTAAAACTAAAGCCAATTTCTCAACACTGAGGTTATGCTGCCTTGTCCACCAGTGCAATGCTTCTAAACAGTTGTCTTCTAGTCAATTAAACAATATTGCAGTGGTGTTGCCCCATGAAATTCCTCACAAAAATCAGATCGTCAATGCTTTTTCACTTGACAAAACAAAGACTTGACTGATGGAATCTCTTACAGTAACACAACTAGGGGACAAGAACGCCATCAAGTGCTGGGTTTTAAACATGACTCCCATATCGGTCCAGTGGATTTGTTGAGGCACTGAAGAGTACACTGAGGGCTGCAATGCAAACTTTTACTAAGTTTAAAGTTAAGTCGGTCACAGTTTCTGACAGAATTTGAGTGGTTCTCACTGTGTATAACTATTAATCTGTGTAAGCATTTCCTGATATTGTAGACTATTTGAAAATGGTGGGTTTAATAAATTAGTTGAACAGATTTTCTTTGTAAATCTGTTAAAGTTATGTCCAGATTATAAATTTTAACTGGACCCATTTCTCACTAGCATGCTTCATTACATACAGTATATACATTACATTTGCTCCTGTTGTTCCAGTCTCTTGACAATCAAAAATGAATGTAAGTTAGACTAAAAACTTAATAACTCACCTCAACATTTCTTTTTTACATTTTATGGCCTATATTTTATGCTTTTAGTTTCATAAAATACCAAAAGGTAATACCGTACACTGCTTGTGCATAGGTAATTTTAATCAGCTCCAAAGGGCTCTTTTTCAAAAACCTACTGAAAGAACAACTTGCCATATTTTAACAAATAAACTTGTTGTTTTACAGACGTCAGAGCACCCAGCTTATACGAATTGTGACTGCTTGCTCCTGCAAAGTGCCTGAGAGTTGAGTCAATGCAGTCAGCTAACTCCCATGTGGGAAATGAATAGTTTCAGAATGCAGCATTTCTGAAACTCAACACTGATTGGCCAGGCAACCTCTGATGTACGGGATCAGCCCATTCTGTCCTGGCTGAGAGAATTGTTTTGGGATTTTTAAAACCTTAAGTTCCTTCACATCTGCATGCACAACCAACACTCTCTTGGTTCTGCTCCTTTGATCAGTATGAATTATCCATTAATGATTCTGCTCTGTGTAGGACTCCTACACCAGACCTGCGTTGTCCGTCTGGATAAACTGGCAGACAGCAAGATTTGTGGAGATGCAGAATGCTCATGTAAGTCACACCAATAAGGAGGTACCTGAATAAATATGTGCTGTATCATATCCTGACATTAAAATGATCCAATAACATGTATGTGCTTGATAACTTTTCAATATGTTTTTGCTGTGCTTGTCGATCAGATGTTCTCTCCCTGGCCACAGCCTTGGATGACTTTGTAGCTCCTGACTGCAGATTCATCAACATCAAGAAGAATCAGAAGGTCTATGTGTATTCTAAACTCATACCAGAAGAGGGCGCCGGAGACTTCTGGTCTGGAAGTGTATGTGCATATTTGTTACATATGATTTAGCAGAGCAGTACAAACCTGCAATCAGTTAGGCATAGCGGATGTGCAGCAGTTGTGATAAATGTGAGATTTTTATTTCCCCTGGCAGGTTTACAGTGAGCGGTATGTGGACCAGTTGGGTATCATTGGATATTTCCCTGCAACTGTGGTGAAGGAGATTCACACATTTAAGGAAGGCACAGTTACAATTCCCACATCTGTGAGTGTATTTGTCTCTTTTGTAGGACAATATCTGAGTTGAATACTTTCAAGTCTTTTAATCACTTTTCATTTTCTGGTGTAGTAAATGGTCATCAAAGGTGGAAAGTACATTTAGTCAAGTACTGTAATTAAGTATGATTTTGAGGTATCAGTACTTTACACAAGTATTTACATTTGCTGCTTTTCATATTACAACTTCACTACATTTCAGAGAAAAATATTGTACTTTGTACTCACTACATTTATTTGATGATCTTTGTTACTATTTTTCAGAATGAGATTAATAAAGCAAAACACAATATAATAAGACTTAATTGATCCCCAATGGGAAATTCACAGGCACTTCAGCAGTATGTAAAGCACTTCATATTATAAGCATATAAAGTACAGTGTATTTAAAACTTGCTCCTCCTTTACTAGCTGCAACGTTAAAGTGATGAACACAATAATACATCAATAATTATAATCCAATAATATAATACACATTCATGTGAACTATAACATTCTACTTTTACCTTTATTTTACACTGTGGTATTGCAACTTTTATTTAAGTAAAGAATCTGAGTACTTTTTCCACCACTGGTGGTGATTAACAGTCATCTAATTTTATTCTTTTTCTGTTTTGTTTTGCCTTTATTTCAGGACATGGACTTCTATTGTTATTAAGTCTTGCTTTCAGCAATTGAGGCTTTTATGAAGGAGAGCAGACAGTTCTACTTTGGAGCCTGTGTGACAGACTATGTGCCATTATGTCCAGTTTGTCGACTTCAGCTGGAATAAAAACCTGGACACTCTCAGCTCCACGTAGACCACATTCTAACACTTCTGCTTTTGAGCCAGCTAGTCCTGTCTTGCATTGTCTTAACAAGAGACTTTGCTCAGTAAAAGCTTTATCAGTCAGTTATGTCAGTTTGATTTTTGGAAAGATAAACTTTGTTTTCCAGATTGCTAATTTGACTCTTCAGGTTTAGTAATTGCAATTTCATGGTATATTTCTGCTGGCACATCTGTTAACTTGCTTTGAATTAGTAAAACTGGAAAGTAACAACGGTGAGGATTTGTTTTGTAGGTAGTCATTAATCTACAAAACAAATAGCTTATTTAGCATTCGGTGTCTGAGTATTCCATGTATTTAGTGAGGATGCTTAATTTCCTTATATGTAAGACAGAAATGATTTGAATTGCACTAATTTAGCAGACTTTATTTAGACTGATGCACCTGCAGCTTTGCTAAAAGCTCTGTTTGATGTGTCATGTGGCTCTGAAATATATCAGTGCTCCAGGCCAGACATCTCTGAAACTCATAAGGTCTGCTTAATACCACTTACTGTCATGTAATTTGACCTTTAAAACTTTGATTTTAACTGTGATCTAGTTAGATTTAATTTATGGCCCATGTGTTTTTATGTTTCCAACAGTCTAAAATGAGATATGACATTATAATTCCCCTATGAGGACAAAGCCTGTATATATTTGAATCTCTTTTGGACCGCTTTTCAATCACCAGGATCTTTTTTTCTGCATTACAGTACCTAACCAGATATAGTGGTGAATGTAAAATCTCAGTCAAACGTACCCCTATGGATTAACAAACCTAAAGATATTTAATTTTAATAAAGGAAGGCAGAAGAAGGAAGGCTCCTTTTAATTTCTCTGCCATCTCAGCAAGTGCATGACTGCTGATTTGCAAAACCACTACAAACAAGCAACTTTTATTTGTTTATTTCTGCCTGACCTAAGGCATTCTTAGGCTTACAAGTTTAGGAAATAGGGCTGTCACATATTGTGATCAATATCTGGTTCCCTTCTCAGCCCAGATCAATACAAACCTGTTTCAAATGTGGACATCTACCACAAAATGTCACTCAGTAATGGCACATGTCTCTGAGGGGTCTGTTAAAGCAGGGACAATGTCAGAAGAGAAGAGAAGAGAAGAGAAGAGAAGAGAAGACTAAGTATTTGGTATTTTTGGAAATAATTTCAGTTCAAAAAAATAGCATTTCTCCCTCTCTCACTATGAGGTCCTATTGGAATGAAATAGACTCTATTACATTGTATCTTCAGAGGAACTTAATGCTGAATGCAATGGTTATTCTGAACAATTGTTCCAAAGAAGTGAAAGGCTCAGCATCTGTTCAGCTGATTGCTAGTTGTACAGCAGCTTCAGAAGGTATTCAGAGCTTTTGCACATTTTATGATGCAGGTTTAGTTTTAAATCAAACAAATTCCTTTTTGTTCACCAGTCTGTGTATTCAATAATCCATAATAACAATGTGAAAATGTGTTACTACCATTTTTTTTTTCAATTTTAAAATCAAAAACTGAATTCTGTCATTCACAGAAGTATCCACACCTTTGTAGAAGCCCCTTTGCACAAGATTTGGGCCCATTCTTCCTGATAGAGCCTCTCAAGCTACATCAGATTGGACGGGAAATGCCTATGAACTGCCATTGTCAAGTCTGTCCACAGATCTATGAGGTCTGGGTTTTAACTGGATAACACAAGGACAGGCACTGAAGCCACCCCAGCATTGTTATGAAAGATGAACCGCTTTGTTATTATGGGTTTAGAATAACTGGCAAAAATGGCAGTTTTAAAATTAAATTTACAACAAATAATGTCAGCATGTAGTGACATCATAATAGACATCAGTTAGGTTACTCCTGTCTAAGCTAAATCTTCCATCAGACACCTGTCGCGTTACAGTGTTACCGTGGTGACAGATGGGGATACTGTGACAAAAGAGATTGATGTGTGGGTTTTTTTTTTCTTAACATTCAAAAACCTCACATCTGGCATGCCTGTGTGATGCAAAGAGTCGGGATACTGTGAAACAAATGGTGTCTTAATCAGAACAGTCAAATGACTTTTTGGTTGCAACAACTGTAGCAGATTCAATTTTCCTTCAAAGATGAAGCAATTATAAAAATGGGAAAGAAAATATCATCAGCAAAAGATAATTTCACAAACACTTGTGTGAGTGAGGTTTCTGATTAAAGGAAACACAAAGCATATACTGGGAGAATAACTGCCTTAGACTGATTTAGATTGCAGTTAAGGGGGAAATGAAAAAGACTGAAGTTAGGAGAACTTTTGAAGAGCAAACATATTGGTACCTGGAAATGGGATCCCCTAGGGTGAATGTTTTTGATGGACAGAACAGGTTTTTACTCTCAACAGTGACACACAGAATACTTCATTTGGTTTCTTCTGGTCTACTGTGATGGAAGATGCTTTATATATGCATACACAACCAGAGGCATGTGTGTGTCTGCAGTGGATGACTTAATCGATAATGTCATAAAGGTGCTTGAATGAACTTGTCGGCAGAGGTTTTCTTCAACAGTGTCAGATAATGCCAGCTCACTGCTTGTTTGAACTGAATCAATCAATCAGTCAATGTGAATTAATCACTGTGAAAGCCTGAGGATCAGCTGTGTCCTTCCCGCATGATTAGTATCCTCTATCATCATGTCCAAATGTCATTGTGAGTCTAGTTTTGTGTTACCACCAACTGGCCACATCATGTGTATCACTGCCATATTTAAAGAATAAAGTCACAATATACACTAAATGATTATTTGAAAAGAAAGTGTGACTTTTTGTTTACCTTTCTCTTGTGATTTGCAATTCATATGATTGCACAAGCTAGTGTAATTCCACCAATCTTCTCATTGTCACACAACAACACAAAGAAACTACTGATTTCATTGCTCGTGTGTTCAAACCTTGAAACAACTCAGGACTCCACTCAGCCCATCACATGAGGGTTACAGCTGTATTCTGGTAGAAGACAAAAAGAATTTGAGGAGGCACAGAAACCTGCATTTTAGAAAAGATGAACAGTTGATAAATGAAATGAAGCGAAATAAGTCGCTCTTCCCGGTGAGCCTATTTGTTCACTGCACAATCACATTTCCAGCTAATGATTGCTCATATACTCCTCCAATGAACAGTGTCAGTGTTTCCTAATAAAACCTGTGTGTGAAGAGAATGGGCTCAGTGGGGTTAAGAAGAGGAAGACTGCCCAAAATTCTCATTTATATGTGAGTGAGGTCTTGATGGCTTCCACTTTCCTTTCCCTTCTCAACTACTGTAAGTTTCTGGAACACCTGAATAAACTCTTTTCTGCAACACAACCCTCCAAGAAAAGCAACTTTGTTCCATTCTTTTTTCCCCCGGTTGGTCCATCACCATGGCTACTAAAAAATCAGTGAAAGGTTATGGTCTGCTTGTGTGCATGTGTGACAATGGGTGCAGCTATTTGGAGGTTTAGGGCTGTGTAGGGGGACCATAATCCACAAAATGTTTTTTGTAGTGCAGCCATCTCTGTTTGGATAATAAAAATCTTAGGTCATAAAGCTAAAAGAAAAAGACAGGAAGTGAAAGATGCTATGAGGAAGTTAGGTGCAGTCACGGACTGCAACGTTTATGGTAATACCGTAATAATGAAGTCTGGTACATTATTAAAGAGGTATTCAATGGTAAATGCATAATTAAAGTCATTGTAAGTAAGTAAGTAGGTAAGTAGGTAAGTCTGTTAGTAAGTCAGTAAATCTTTATTAACATAGCACCTTTCTAAACCAAAGTTACAAGGTGGTTCACAATAACAGAAAATAAAATGAAAAAGTACAACAATAGTAACAAACAACATTAAACCAAGTAAACAACACTGGGTAAAATAAAATAAAATAGAACACAAAATCATAAAACAAGTAAACATGCTTAACTGGAAACCACAGAAAGCTTCCATCAAAAAACTTCTGTTGTACATCCTGCTTTCAAATGTTTTGTGGAGGGTCTGTGAGCTATGAATAGATTGAGTGTTTGTCATGACAACCAATTACCCATTACAAAAGGAGTGCAGCTAAGTAAGGCAATTAAGTGGTGAAACAAATCTGTGTGCTGCAGAATTTTTTATTATGTTTCAGATACAGTGTGTGTGAACACACTAAAATGTTATGTGGAGTTTTTTACATGAACATTTGCTGTGCTGTGCTTTATTTTCCCTAATATTTTAAGCACAAACTGTCGATTTTAATACTATATGTAGTATGTTTTTTATTTAAAGGTGGCAACCATACAGCAGTGGTGTTTATTTCAAAAATAAGTAATATACTTACAGTGAATATGCATTATTATGCAAAAAAGAATGGTCAGGTCCCTTGCTCAAGTAAAATTAGTAAAATACTATATTTGCATCTGAAATGTTGAAGTATGAAGTAGCACAAAATGGAAATACCCAAGTAAAGTAATGATACCTCAAAATTGTACCTAAGTACAAAAAAGAAAATATACTTAGTCACTTTCAAATACAATAAACAATACAACAATAAATGCTATATTTAATTTTCCAAGCTGTATATCTCTGCTGTCTGTAAGAGTAGTGACATTTTATCAGTTGATTATTATTTATAGAAGGCTTGTTTAATTATAGCAGCTGCCATTTTGAATGTCCAAGCTCGATGTACTGTGTCAGCACACTGCATAAGGCTGTGGTTCATCTATTGGGGTTTGTACTGTTTCTATTAAGTTCCATATCTCAAACTTGCAGCCACCCAAAGCTTGTCGGCAGAGAGTGTCATGGGTGACAGTGATAAAGAAAAAAGAAACTTGCTGTAATCGAATTCTTATTATGGAAATATTGTTATGGTTTAGTCCTGTTGCTAAATGTCAAATTATGTGCTATAAACAGAGCACATGCAGACATATACATTAGAGGTATTACTGCATGTAGTTGGAGGTTGTACATTAAAATGAGATATTGTGTGCTCCACATTACAGCGTCATATTTTAGCAGGCTGACACATTAACAGTTTAATATTAATTCTGGTTTAATATCTTGGATGACTGGCTTTTTAACAAACAGATCTCAAAAGGTAAGACTTAAGGGGGTTGTATCTGATGTCCTATTCTCCACTGGCTGGGGTGTGCTCTTAAGACATATAATTAAGTTTGTGGATGATTCTGTGATTGTGTCTCTACTCAGCGAAGACAATCTTGACCATATCCCAGTAATAGATGATTTAATGATTGGTGTAAATGCTCTTTTTTGGACATAAATGTGTCAAAAACAAAGGAACTGATTACTGACTTTTGATGGAAGCCTTTACCTGCTCCTCATGGTCAGCAGTACGAGTACCTTGGGACAATAATAATACTTTTAAGTTTTTCTTTTATTTGCTGGTTTCAGTCATTTAAAATTGTATTCTGGTAGTAATTGTATTCCTTTTTGCTGAGTATAAAGTGCGGCCTTCTGGTCACAGATCTGCTCTATCTAGATGCAGGACAAATAGATTTAAGAACTCTCCTGTTCCTGCCACTATTGACCTCCTAGTGTTATGTGATTTCTGCTTTTTTTGCTTTGCATATTTCAGTGTTTATTGTATCTGGGTGAATTTTTGTGGGTTTTTTTTTATTCACTCTTGGCTGTAAAATTACCCCTTGGGAATAAAAAAGTTTACCTTACTGTACCTTATAGTATCAGAATAAAATAACAGTGACATTAAATAAACCACCTGCCTCTGAGCCATTACAGGCAGGCACACTGTCCCAGAGCACACGTTGCTTTGCTGAGCCTGTGGGCAGTTTATAGATGAACCAGGTTTGTTAAGCCTA